TTTCTGTGTCGTCTTTGCAGAAAAGTGTGTAAATCTCTTGCAGGGATTAAGAGCTATTGTAGATCCCACGATTTATAGCTCACTTGTATATATTTCTCCAATTTTATTTAATTTTAATCCTGTAATAATAATTTATATTTATTTTTAAAGTTTTTAGCATGATAATTCAATTTTTACATACCGTACTTGTCGACGTACAAGGTGATCTTTTAACTTTGAAATTTTCCCCCAAATTAAGGGGTTATCTTATTATTCCAGGTATAAAATGTGAACCTTAAATCCTGTGGTTTATGATAAATTGTTAACATGGAAGATTTTTGACGGTAAATTAACCCCTGCCTCATATCCTTTTTTCGATGACGTTGAAGAAAAATGCAACTGAATGTGTATCTCAACAAGCCGTTTAAAGATCGCTTTCGAGAAAAGTAGAACGAGTGGATGGTTAACGGGGGAAAAGTCATTCAGGCAACTATAATAGCCTAACGAAAACACATTACCCACCGCCATATTTATTACAACGTTTCAGCCGTTGTACGCTCCGGCCTACTTCAGGTGGCTGGAATGTCGAACTGAACCCTTTATTTCGCTCACTGTGATAGACTGTTCTAGTTCCACGTGCCATGTTTAATGGATGTCAATTATCAGTTATCTGTTAATTCCCCACTCCAAGTTCTCCACTTAACGGGTATTGAACTCACACTCTACGGGGTTCTGTCACTGGATCTAACTAACGCTTTTATCCATGTGTCCTTGAGGACATCTGTGTATGAACGTCTGGGTATTATAAAGCTAATGTCTTCAGCAACCATTTCTTACCAGTGCTCATATTGTAATTTTTGCTGTTATCATATCATTTTTGCCAGAGCTCATATTGCAATTTTTGCTGTTATTATCGCTTTTCTCTGGCACTTCTTATTACTGGTTTCCTTATAAGGAAACATTTGGCATTCATTGGGCAAGCAACGGTTTGAAATTTATAAAATCTTTCTCTTAAAACATTTTTTCCGGAAAATATGATTTTCAAGTCCAGTAACTGTCATCGCCATTTCCAATATCTCCATTTCCTTCCTAACCTTTTGTTTGAAGTAGTGTGGAATGTGAACAACATCGTTAATCAGCATTTTCTTTTCAAGCATAATTATCTTAATTTATATGTTAATATGTTAGGTATCGTCATAGAAGTCGATACCCATCACATATATTAGTTAAGGGCCTTTTTCTTTCAGCCAAGAAATAATGGCTTTTGTTCCTCCAGATCAGCTGTTGATGATGCATTGGCGATAATTGCACAAAGATTCTATCAAGCTCTAGATAAGAATTGTTAATCACGGACTATAGCTTTGAACATCTCGAAAGATTTGAACAGGGATTGACATGCAGGTCTTCTCCACATGCTGAAGACTTAGTGTCCCTGGACAAATTTTTGAACTGATCCAATCGAATCGTGAAATGAAGGTAATACTGAAAGGCTACTCTTCTAGTTCCTTTCTTATCAAAACAGACGTCCCCAGGGCTCCATCATTAGGCCTACTTTATTTTCATTTATTTCATTAATGACTTTCTATCTACACTGATTACACAAACATTTACCCAAACATTGTCTCAATAGTAAGTCTGAGCAGTTTGATTAGTTCAAAATGGCAGCTGATATACCTTCAGTCTGTTGTTAACTAGGGCAAAGAATGGCTTGTTAATTTTAACGCTTCCAAAACTAAACTGTTCTTTATTAATCATCTAAAAGAACCCTCTCTACCTTCCATCAGCATGGCTAATGCTATCCCCCAGGAGAGTGATTCGCTGTGCCTTCTAACGTTCTCGGTTGACATCAAGCGGAAAGACTATACTGAATACATTTTAGGTCAACTTCAAGGAAGGTTGGTGCACTGTGTCGTGCGAGACACGTTTTCTCTCCAGAGTCTATCTTATATATCTATCTACCATTCGTCCATGCTTAGAATATTTCTGCCACATATGGTCCGATGCTTTTGCTATCTATCTAGAGCTCCTTGATAAAATTCAAAGAAGAATCAACAATGTTATTGGCCACGATCTGACGTCATGACTTTAATCCCTTTCACACTGCCGTAGATTTCGATTTGTTTTAATAAATGCTTTCATAGTAATTGTTAGAGTCGCTATGGTACCTAGACTCTTCAAATTTAAGCGCAGTACTAGACTGGCAACGAGGTCTGGCCAATTTACAGTTGAGTTGGCTTAGATATAACACTGTAATTTCAATGCTACCAGTTTCTTTTCTCGCGCTTCCCGCTTATGGAACTCCTTTCCAGCTCCATGTTTTCCGGCCAACTTTAGTCAGCAAAAATTTAAATACAATGTCAATCGCTATCTGCTGTCCACCTGATTACTCTTCCTCTGTTCTCGCTTCTTAATAATGTTTCTGTTTCTAACTCTTCCACTCCCAGTAAACCATTGCGTCTCGGTGGTTATACTGATTTGCATAGGGAGAACTCGATTATATATATATATATATATATATATATATATATATATATATATATATATATAGACAAATCAGACTAGACGATGTCATCTTCCGCTTTAAGTTTAGACACCCCAACCTTACCCTGACTTGACCTCTTTGATGTAACTAAGATATTGATACAAATTATTAACCCTTACACCCCTTTTCTTGAAATAATTGCTCTAGTCGTTACCATAGTAATTTTAATTTTAATAATGAATATGCTTATAAAACGCGTAAATTTCAGGAATTAGTTAATCAAAAAAAAAATTCGCTTGAAGATGGAACAGAGCTTGGTACTTTAATTCAATTTAATTCAAATAATTGAAGTTTTCGGCTCTTGTTTTGAAACATGAGAACTCTTATGTAGCGATGGAATCATATTTTTAAATAAATAATATATATATATATATGTGTGTGTGTGTGTGTGTGTATTATACACTCTTACATTAGAACATGTAAGTATCCACTACAAAAAATATTTATTGCTCTACTTTTGTATTGATCCCTGTTTTAAATTAATATTTTAAACGTTGCAATTTTATTCTTCGTTCTTTTCACATTTTGTATATATATATATATATATATATATATATATATATATATATATATATATATATATATAAACACTATTTGATGGCACATTATGGGATTATTTTTCTCTTTCACCGGTAATATAATAGTAATGGACCCTAGATTAAATCATATTAAATGCCTAATTTCATAGATAAAATTTTATCAACTTTATATTAGACGAAGAATTGTCAACCATTATTAATTTTTAACTATTATTTCTTTCATCTTTGTTCCAATTTCTTCTCATCAGAATTACTGAGGGAATCATTCTACGATTGGTAATAAATGGACACAATCAGAAAGAATTAAACTTTCAGCGATTTATTTCGAATTTATTAAATGAATTTTTTCTATTAAGAATAATTTCTGACTAGCATTCTTTTCATCTTATTTATCTTGCTTTTTTATCGCAGGGGAGTCATTCTACAACCATTAAAAAGTAACAAGAATCGAAAATAAAGAATAAACTAGATTTATATTCATATTCATTACGCTTTGGAATCTGTCATTCCGTGACAGCATTTTACCGGTTAGGCTACCAACTAGTAGGAGGCATGAAAATTTAACCATTTTTCTATTGCTTTTACTTTTCCGAACGTCATAGACCACTCTCTTATCTTTCTTATATACTTTCATTTTAAACTAGTAGTATTAAATGTAATGGTATTCGAATTTCTCAGATGAAGTATTGTCAATTATTAATATTTTTAAAGTATTTCTTTCTGTTTTTTTTTTTGTTTTTTGTTTTTTTGTGCAACTACCTGATCGCCAGTCTATATCGGCATCGATTTTTTGTGTCTGAGATGATTTTATTACTTAAACGTTATTTTTAGTGATTATTCGTAGGTACACCATTTATTTATTAAACAGTATAGTTCTTTCTTTTATTCTACCTGTCAAAATATTTGAGAAATCTGATTAAAGAAAAATATGCGCTCTCCGGCAGGATTCGAAACTGTGCCCTCTCCCTTGGTAGGAGAATCCGTCGTTAGAACCGACGTGCTTTAGACCGTCTCAGCCAAGAAAAGATCAAGTAACGTTGAATCGTCCACGCGGATGTGATTATCAGATCATAATTTTTTCTATAAATAATTCATATATATATATATATATATATATATATATATATATATATATATATATATATATATATATATATATATATATATTATCGATTTAAAATATGTTTTTTTCGCTACAGTTCTAATCATGTTTCAGCATGGTTAGAACTGTGTAGTGAAAAAACATATTTTAAATAGGTTAATTTATAATATTAATGCTCTGTAAATTTACATTGAGTACTATTTGTAAAAATAAAATATCTATAAGAACACTGGGTTATATATCTTACTGCTCTTTTCTTTCTTTTTATATACACACACACACACACACACATATATATATATATATATATATATATATATGAATTATATGCCGACACACATTATCATATGAACTATATGCCGACACATATTATCATATATACGTAGGCTCAACAGTGAATATATTACTAAATAAATAATGATAAATGCAATTATTTTACACATTATTTTTCAAAATAATCTCCATCTTTGTCACTCCGCTTAAATCAGTGGTGAATAATACCCGCGTATTTCAAATAAAAATTCAGCGCAAAACTACGTGTCAATGTGTATCACGATGTGGTGTCATGGTTGGCATTGCTTGTCTCGCTAGAACAATTACTAGATTAGATTACTAGATAATTATTAGAACAAAAATTTTTCTCGCCCAAGTCCATCCTTCAAATATATAAATCAACCATTCACCCTTGCATGGAATATTGCTGTCATATATGGTCTGGTGCCCCTGCTGTTCGCCTAAAGGTCCTCGACAAAATCCAGAGACGGGTATACAATGCGATTAGCCCTGATATGCCATCTCATTTACAGTCGCTTCCCTCTGCCTTTTCTACAAATACTTTCACGGTAACTGCTCCGAGAAGCTACTTTCGCTAGTTCCCAAACTATATGAATTTAAACGTGCTACTAGGTTGGCATTTCAGTCCCACCCTTTCACTGTCGAAATGGTTAAATGTAGCCCGTCTCTTCTACTCAAATAGTTTCATGTCTCTCACTTCCCATCTGTGGAACTCCCTTCCTCTTACTTGCTTCCCTGATAGCTATAATCTCCAACTATTCAAATACAATGTCAATCGACATCTTCAGATGCCTTGATATTTTCCCCGTCCTTATCTTAATCTTTTCCTCTACCACGCCTCCTTACTCTTACTCACACTCTCTGTAACCCCTTGCGTGTTAGTGGCACTCCTGCCTTGTTTGGGGTGAAATGCTTAAAAAATTACAACTGAGTAGTGAGTAAAATCCTCACTGGGTGATACATACATTCGGATTTGTGCCACATCAAATCTACGCTTAGAAATGAATCATTATTATTGGGCACTTCAACGTGGTGTAAAGTTTAGCAAGTTTGTTTCGCTAGATAAATTACGACTGAATTATGACAATTGAGTTCGATCCTTATTGGGTGCCCCATGCTCTCGGTATAGCTTAGATGTGCTACAAAGCCGAAAGGAAGAAACACCCGGTGCGGATCGAACTCACTGCTCAGTCGTAAATTAATCTATCGAGATAAGCTAACCATTGCCCCACGTTATATGCTAACCATCGAAGTGTTCAATGCTTGTATGTTATAATTGGATATGTTTGGGGATTTAAAGGAAAAGGCTTTGCTTTAATTTCCAGAAGAAAAAAAATAGTATGGTCAGGGGTCAGGATTAAAGATGAAAACAACCACGAAAAAAAGGCAATAGGTATTTTTGTGATTTTTTTTTGTTTTTGTCTTTTTACTCTGTTTTTTTTTTTATTTTTTCAAGCACTGACTCATATTTTTCAAGGTAACTGACACAGTAAGTCTTATAAGTTTTATATACTTCCCCGGCTTCAGCTGGGGTAGTTTGAAATTAATATTAGCCCAAGCCCCAGGCAGTACCTTCGAGAGGAGCCATGGCTTATTGCTCGGTACCTGAAGCGTCCCCAAAAGAATTATCAAGGAGGATTGAGCAATTTTTCCACGGTATTACCCTTAAATCCATTTTAAACTTACTTTGTGTCACATTCCGTAGCGACGTGGGCGCACTGAGAAATACAAAAAAAAAAAAAAAAAAAAAAAAGAAGAATTTCTTATAAGCTTTATTCATTTGTCAGGAAAGGTAAATCCCCCACCACCACACACACACACACAAGAATTTACGAACGCCAATATTATGCAGGCCGTATTTTTTTTAATGAATCTGTTTTGCCTGATAAGGAATACAAAGCTCCTGAAATAATCTGATGGTTTATCGTAAAAATATGAGAAAAAAACACAAGAGAATCCTTTCAAAATGTTTCGCTTTTTCGGATTATTTTATGCACATCCATTGACCAGATTAAAATCAGTTTCTTCTCAGCTGTGCGCTAAGAAATCTCATCTTCAGTGCACGTTGTACTGAAGCTGCGGGTTATTTCACGAAACAAGTGTCTTAGATTAACCACTAGAGAGCGGCTGTCAAGATATCAGGAGAAATTACCGATGCGGCTGACGAGATAACTCGCGTAAATTTTCTTTGTCTTGGCCTCTTCTAATTCTCTCAGTAAATCGGGTAGAGATTCAAGAAATTCCTCCGCGCTTTCACTCTATTTTGTTCTTCATCCACTGCAGTGACTATTACCTGCTTTCACGCTATGTCATGTTCTATTCGTGTAATTGTTCTATTCCTGTTCTACACAAGCTTGCACTACTTTCTACTTTGATGTTATGGATATTACATTCTGTATTCATGCAATCATTCTTCAAGGCGACTGATTTGGTTAACAAGCTAGCCTAGAAAATCATTAGCGAATGAGCTTAATTTTCGTCGGTGTCTTCTTGTGCTATCAGATATTCTGATTCCAGGCTTAATGCAAGAAGATATCTGTGTTATCCATTATGAATTCGAATTTGACCAGTTTTGTTTCCGTCGACGATACAGGGTTCAATCTACACACGGAGTGCCACTATGGATATGCACTGCGCAACCGAAAAGCATACGAAATCGTTCTCGCCAATAGAGGAAGAAATAGCAGTATTTCATATGTAGGTACTTCCATACCATGTTGAAGGCCCAAACTTGATATAAAGTCTTATCGTCAAAACGTTTGTTATTATTAAGAGGAAAGACGATAATATGTTTTGATTATTTTATTAAATTTTTTAATCCTTTCAAGCACGTTCGAAATTTTGGTTTAAAATCTTGTTTTTCTTGCGTTGATTGATACGTTTTCTACGAGTTATCAACAGTTTTCTGGTTATTTAAAGCCAGAAAATTAGTTTAAGATTGTAAGAATTTTTTTAAACAATAATGATTTAGCGATACAAGTCTTACTGCTTAACCCATAGCTTGGAGAAGATGAGGTGGAGTCATACCTTTCCAAGGGTATTTGCGCTTAAATGATTATAACGAACCATTATCTATTATCCCACCCAGCCCAAGCGGTCACCCATCAAGGTACTGACTCGATGTTGCTTAACTTCTGTGATCGTACGGGAACCGGTGTTTCAACGTGTGATGGCCGTAAGCCCCCCCCCCTTAAGAGTAATTATAGCTCATTAAATTATTATTGATTACATTTGATGTAGTTATTTCCATATAATGATGAAAGCCCAAACTTGATACAAAGTTTTATCGTTAAAATGTTTGTTATTATTAAGAGGAAATACCAAAATATTTTTTGTTTATTTTATTAAATTTTTTAATCCTTTCTAGCGCATTCAAAATTTTATTTTAAAATCTTTTTTTTTCTTGTGTCAACGGATGGGCGAAAGATTAGTATAGGATGGTTAGCGTCTTTTTTTTTCATTAATAACACATTGTTTTGGAAATTCTTATAAAAATCAAATAGTTGTCGGATTTTAATGAAATTTTCAGGACTTACTTTGTGTCACATTCCGTAGCGACGTGGGTGAATGAATTAAATTATTTAAAAAATAATTTTTTCAAGATCTTGGTAAAAAATATTTTTCTTTTACATCTGTTACTCCCAATTAATTAATTTTATGAAATTTCGGGAAATTAAAATTTCATCCTCTTTGTATTTATATTAGTTAAAAGAAGGACCCCTTGGAGAATTTAAATCATCAATTTGATTTTGTCAAACACAAACACTAAAAATCTGCTCTGAATCGAAAAATAAAAAAATGGAATAATATTATGGCAGTATTTGATATAGAAAAGCTTTTAATTGCTTTTAGAAATAAGTTATATTAAGGGCACTATCGTCTTAAGAAAAACTTTTTTCGATATATATATCGAAAAAAATTTTTTTTAATTTTAACAAGAATGTGTTTATTTTTTAATTTAAAAATTGTTTATTTTTTAATTGTGTTTTAATTTTTTTAATTTTAACAAGAATGTGTTTATTTTTTAAATTTTAATTAAAAAAATCATTAAGTTTTAAATCTGAAAATTCTATACTAATTTCACCCTTTTAAATTAGATTATAATTAAGTGAAAACTATATTTACTAATCGTAAATGGAAAAGCTTAACACAAATCATCACACACCAATATTTTTAAAAGAATTTTGATTTTTTTTATGTATGTGTATAAACCTGTCAAATTTTGTAAGTACGGGCGACTATACACGGAATTATCAGAAAATAAGCACGATAACTATAGTAAATTTAAAGTCAACATTTCCAAAATTCAATAAAACATATATTCCTAAATTTTTAAGATTATTGAGTACTTAAAACTTATATAAAAAAGCGCTGACGTCATTTTTTTCAATTATGTTTTAATGATAAAGTTACTGTAGAACAATATTAGATTTGTCATCAAGCTGTCGATACAGCTACTGTCCGGTTTAAAAAATCCATTTTTGCCATATTTTAAACTTAATGTAGATAATATTTGTTTCAAATCAGATTAATTATACTTTAAATCAACTAATATTTGTCAAATAACGTAAAGAAAAGTATATTCTGTTTATGAAAAAATTTTAATAAAGAGAATTACATTGCGATGAAAGAAGACTAAAATCAGCTATTTTAGCAAAAAAAAAAAAAAAAACTTCTTCCAGTCAATTTAAATTAGTTTTTGAAATACAGCAAAGTATTTTGCTTAGAGAAAATATTAGCTTGAAATTAAAACTAAAATAAAAACTTCAAGTACACAAGTTAATTTAATGCTACCTTTTTTTGCGTCATTTATTGCTGAGACTATTCTTCCCAAACTCAAAGGTAACAAGAAAGGCGATGGCAATGGACAATGTGAAATCGTTTCACTCAAACGTGGTGCTAAGTGCAATAAGTAATGAACTTGTGTGATACTAAGCTGAGTTCAAAACGATCTGTAACCAGTTTTCGGCATTGACATGTGTTTCTAATTATTACTACCATACATATCTGTTTTTATACTTGCTTCGTGCCGACTGATTACACAAGCTTTTCTTTTTTCTTTCGCCACAAGAGACGCCATATAAAGTTCTTGTGATCAGGTTTCTTAAAATATCTAGACAATCAAAAAGTAAAAAAAAAAATGTGCACCATACATATCTTCGTTTTTTTTTTTTTTTTTTTTTTTTTTTTTTTTTTTTTTGTTTTTTTCTTTATATTTTCACACTGATATTTTGACTTGTGAAGCATTCTGGATGGTTTTGTTTCGTCCCTTTCGAAATCGGGGTCTGGAAACAAATCCTATTGGCGGCCTTTACTCGACGGCGAAATATGGACGCTTGATGTTATGAAAAATCTCATTACCTTTTCCTTCACCAAGTCAAAAACTTCAACGAAACAAAATAAAACCAAAGCAGTCCTTTTATCGTGACCCTTTTGATAGATTTAATTTTAAAACAAACAAACAAAAAAATGAAAAAAAGAAAAGTCACCTCCCCCCCGCAGTTTTTAGGGGTTCATTTAGAGACGCAGTCGTTTCCAGCAGAGTTCCATAAATTATGAATAGGCGACATCATACCATTTAGTAAATTAATAGCCAAGACTCTCCCGAGACATGACGCCATTATTACTCTTTTATTTTTAAATACTAAATGGTTACTAATTACTAACGATGATTTTATAACGTGTCCAGCTCTCATAAAAAGGAAAAAAATTCATCTAGTTCCTTTTTCACACGAGTTAAGGAAAAATGAGGATACTTTGATCGTCACCATTAGAGTCAGGTTGCCTCATTGGGATGAAAAATGTCTCGTTAGGACGTGATGGAATCTGATCTCGTTGGAAACGTGCAGCACTGCGAGACTTTAATGCACACACACACACTGACACGTTTTTTTTTCTGTTTGCAATAAGAATTATTTATGTTTTTCCGTGCCAAAAAAAATGTCTAGCTTGCGCAATATAGAAGTATTATTTTTTGTATGCAAAATCATAAAAGTGGAACGATCTTCACTTTGTTCATTTGGTTTCATATTTGTGTCGTTCATTTTATTTTATTTTATTTTATTTTATTTTCTTTTCTTTTCTTTTCTTGCACGGTGGAGTAATGTATAGCGGTTCGGACTGAGGAATCGGAGAGCCGAGTTCGAATTCCAGTCGAATCCATTACATTCACTTACGTGCTAATACCCTTGGGAAAGATATGAATCCTCTTCTTCCCCCCACCACCAGTTATGGTTAAATAGCAGGACATAGCAACTGCAGAAAGAAATGGGGGAAAACTGCATCGTCAGTCATGTATCGAAAGATACATGATCGCTTAAGCGTGTCTCACGCATGGCACATAACTGACTGACTGGTCCTTGGGTGCGTGTTAGTTATTCTTTCATGGAAGTCATTTAAGAATCCATTAATTGCAAGGGAATGAAAATAGGAGTAAAATAAGGAGGGGCAAGGAAAAGGAGGGGGAGGAAAAAGGAAAGCTAATAAAAAAATAATTCTATTACAATTAGTCAAATGAAAAGGGGCAATAACGAAAAAAGACGGGAATAGAGGAGAGGAAAAAAGAAGCGACTAATAAATAATGAGAGCTTTTTAAAAATGAAATAAAGAATAAAAAAAAAGCTAGTGAGGAAAGCTGAAAAAGAAAGGAAAGATCCATAAAGAACGAACAGTGTGTTTACTTATTTAATTATTACTTGAGTGAAGTATATGTATATTTCACTTGTTCCAATGGTCTACTCTTAAAGTCAAAGTTAAAAAAAAAATGACATCTAAGACCAAATTTCGAGGTACGCAAATTCTCTTGAACGATTTGTGAAAAAAGTTTGTTTTTATATTGTGTTCGGCAGAAATAACTTCAAAAATAACTCCCACATAATGGTAAGGCATTAGACTAGATGAAGACACCATTGCCACTCTCCCCCAGCTATGGGGGGGGGAATGGCAATGTATATTCAGAAATAAATATACTATTACCACTAATGTCTTACCATTATGCGAGAAGCATTTCTGCCGTATTCTGTATTTACCATATTTTTCTGTTCCTAATGTAAGCCTTTTATATATATATATATATATATATATATAATTATAATATTTAATTATTGAACAATAAAGTTCATGCCACTTTGACAGAAAATTTACCAGTAAAAAAGAATTCACTTATCACCATATTTGTATAAGAACGCAGAATTGTAAAATTTAAATTCAAACTCAGCGTTGCGACTGCATGCTCCAAAAACAATAACTCATTTCTAATAGCATTTTTCGGATTACAACAATACATATATTTTCGTTGTCCTCTTATTACTGAGAGTAAATACAAGAACAAAATCTATTCCATACCTGAGGATGTCTGTAGAAACAGACGAAAGCTTGTAAAAGCTTGTAATAAGAACTTATGCAACAGAAATTTATAGAAACAAGGCTCTTTTCATTCATAAACAGGTTCGGGGTTTTTGTATATTATTTGAATTGTTCGCGACGATGGATTTCTTGCCAATTAAATCATTAACCTTTGTATTTGTTTTTTGTATGAATAATTCATGAATATATATATATATATATATATATATATATATATATATATGTGTGTGTGTGTGTGTGTGTGTGTGTGATTTTGAGTTTTGATTTTTGTGTCATAAACAATGTAAGAAAAAAAAAGTCTGGTCTCCCCAGACATGCAAAGGGGTTTTATATTGATCCTGGAAATACGAGAAAAACAAATGTCCAAAATAATAATTAATCATCACTTGTATGGACTAATATGGTGATAGACTAAAAAGAAATTTAAATTAATAGAAAAAAGGAGTAGGCAGTTGAGATAGTACGCAAATTAACATTGTAATGCTTTCAAATGAGTTAAAAGGAAAACAATATTAAGAAGAGAGAATAATAAAAGAAAATGATTTAAGAACAAGCAGAAAATATCGATTGACATTGCAGTTAGATTTTTGAAGCTCAAAGTTGAGTGAAAAGCAAGCAACCTGAAGAGAGTTCCACAATCTGGTCTGGTGCTATGGCTATATATTTAGAGATTCTTGATAAAAATCCAAAAAAAGAATCTGCAATATTATTGGTTCTGAACTGGTATCCCAGCTTCAGTCATTTTCCTACAGAAGTAATGTAGCTTCCCAGTGCCTTTTCTATAAATACTTTCATGGTAATTGTTCTGATGAAT